TCAACCGGGGTAACTTTGGTCAATTATTGATTTTTTTTTAAATTCTTAAAATTTAGTAAAGATAACATATGTTTAGTTTTGTTACAGATACCAACAATATATATCAACAATTATATCAACAATTTTGGTATATCAACAATTTTTGTAAATAAAGCACACTTACTTCATAGACATTGACATTTTTGATGTATTTTAGTGTTTTTTGACATTTCTGATACATTTATTGAACCAATTGGATTCTTAGCCGGTGAAAATGCCAAGGAAATATAAGCAAAAGCCTGGTTCAAGAGCATATGCAACTATGAAACTATGAAAGCATGTTTAACTGGAAGAATGAGCACACGAAAGGCTAGTAGACGTCAATTTTTAGAACAAGTGTAAAAATCAACATTTATAGAACAAGTGTAAAAATCAACATTTGAAGAAGGTAGGGACACCATTTCGTCTGAGTAATGAGTAATAACTGAAACGCATTTTGTAACTTTGATCCACACCCTCTCCAATTGGAAAATTCCATTGACTTCAATAGATATCAAATTTCTAGTGAAAAATCACTTGGATTAATCCGGTGTCCATGGTTCAAAAATGGTTCAAAAACAACAATCCCAGTTACAACTGGTTCAAATCTTTTATAAAACGAAACAATTCGACCCAGAGGTTGGCAGACACTGAATCCAGAAGGTGCTGAGATCGAAGCATTGAATGTCAACCTTTACTTCCATAAATTGCAACATGTAGTTGAAGATGTGCCTGCTAGTCATATATACAATTATGATGAAACAAATGTGACGGACGATCCTGGTTCAAAAACAGTTGTATGTCAAAGAGGTTTTAAGCGTGTTGAGCAAAAAATACAATATTCCAAGTCCGCAACAAGCATCGTGTATTGTAGCAGTGCAGATGGAACATTGATCCCACCAATGGTAATTTATAAAGCACAGAACTGCTATGTCGAATGGGCAACTGGTGACCCGGCAGGCTCCAACGCTATCCATTTGCTTCAACCGCTGGACGTTGCTGTTTTCCGTCTGCTAAAGATAGAATTGTGCAGAATACTGGAAAATTGGCAAATCAAAGGGAACCGTGCATCAAAGGATCAATACCGAAAAATCAGTTCCTCGGTCTCCTTGCTCTACTGCTACGTCAATTGAAAAGTGATAATTAAAAGCGGTTAACAAAAACATTGGAGGAGGTACCGGTAGTACTGTTAAAAAAGTATTCAATGAAGCTATAACAGGTCTATTAGTGAAACATTGTGAACAGGATGGGAAAACAAAGTGCACCAGAGGAAAAAAGATCACATCTGGCAAATCGATAACACCGCAAGATCTGGTAAATAACAAAACTCCTACCACATCAAAGAATAACAATAACCAAGAATAACAAGAAAAGGGCAAGAGTTGAACAAGTGTCATCATCCTTAGATGACGATGATGACCTACTAGAAAATACAAGTGAAAATGACCAAGTAGAAAGTGACATTGACAATGAAGTAGAAGAGGACAGTAATTCAGAAAGAACAAGTTCATCAGATGGAAAAAAGATTCATGTTAGAGAATAGTATGTGGCAGCATATCCAGGGAAAAACAAAAACACAAAATTAAACTACATTGGCAAGGTTACAGAATTCCTTAGTCGAATACACCAAGTGAAGATGAAGTTTGTTAAGAAACAACCCGGCAGTGACACATTCACTTTCCCACTTAAGGATAAAGTGGATCTCATTACTGATTCGTATTTGATCTTTTTTTTTAAAAGTAACCTAAGTTTGTATGAGTGTTTTTCAAGTGTTTTTCACCAAATCTGAACTCGATCAGAAGAGTTAATAATTTAAGTTTAAAAAAAAGTAAAAAGGACTAAAAATTTAGCAATTAAAACGATGTAATCAACCATTTTTGGCTTCTTTTTTAAATATAATGTTTAACTGATAAGAAAAATAGTTGGAGAAAAACCCACAAAGCGGTAAAAATGGCGGATTCGAAGCAGTCTGTTTGTGCAGTTTGTTTGGAAAAAAAAGGTGAAAATTCAAAATCATTATCAAAAGTGCAACCATCAATGCAATTCACAAAATTTGCTGGTTACCTTTTTGCAAGTCACAACACTTGCAGTACCAATTTCGGAAGTCACTACACTTGCTGATTACCTTTTTGAAAATTGCAAAACTACCAGAACATTAAAAAAAAAAGTCACCTTCAAACTTTATTTGTAATATTAAGAAAAGTTGTATAAATAACTTTACCAGTTGTAAAATTAAGAATTAAAAATAAAATAATCAACTGTACACTTTTGGTATTTTAAAATTATTTTGTAAATTTATAATGTAATCCTTACCAGGATTGTCAGTTGAAGGTATTACTTATAAGATAATATAAAAGATTGAGAAAAAAGACATCTTTAAACAATATGTTTTAATATATAACCTTAGCAGTAATTGCAGTTAGCAAACAATCTTAAAATTAAAAAAGAAATAAAATAAACAGCAAAAAAGAAATTTTACGTGTTTCGTAATTATTTTGAAAAGTTATAATAGAAACCTTATCAGAATTTTCTGTTGTTGATGGATCTAAAAATGTAATACAAAAAAACAAGTAATAATGAAAAAAACAATTACAAACTTTGTTTTCTTTTAAAAAGTTATAATATATAAGCATACCAGTACAAGTTAGCAGCTATCAAATTTATGTTTCCAGCAAATCATTTATATTTATATTACTTATTGATATGATGCATAATTATTTCTTTTAAAAAAATGGTCTTAATAAGCACCTAACTAAAAATCTGGGATATGGAGTCCCAAAAAGACTCCGGCTTTATAACTTTATTTTTTTTTTTATGGTCTCTGGTGTCCAGAAGCTCTAAACATGTTGGCTGATTGATGATCTGCTATAAAAAAAAAAGTTATGATATTTAATGACTTGGAACTTATTGTTTTTATACCTGGAGTTTTTGCCGCCATTATACCTAAGGACTCTGGGTTCAAAAGTTGATTGTTCTTCTGACCTATAAGTCTTGATAAAATATGATAAAACATCTATAAAACATAAAATATAATTATATATAAATAAAACATCTAGGTATATACATTTATATAAAATATATTTCTAAAAAAAAATGCCTCAAAAAAACGTTCGTTCAACACAACCTCCAAACAGACTTCAAAAAACGTAGCACAGAATTTTAGGATAAAATTCAGTTTTGTAAAACACGATAAAATTCAGTTTTGTAATTATGCCAAAGTTTTAGAAAAAAAGTCTATATTGTCTGTATTGCTACAATTGTATTTCTTGTGCCAGCAGCAACATAATTTTAAGTTGCTTTTCTTTTAATAATTTTTTTGTTTTATTAAAAGATAAAAGTATTTTCAATACATTTGTTTATTTTGTATTTTTGGTTTAATAAAAAATTTAAGTTATTTGACACTTTATATAATCTCTGAATATTATCCAATATGAATTTATTTCAAAGTTTTTTCAGATTATAAGACTAAGCTTGTCTTCATCTTGCCTATATAATTCTTTATAAATTATTTTTATAAATTATGATTTTTTTATTTGCCAAAAGTAATTCTGTAATTTAAAAGTGGATGGCAATTTTCAAATAAAAAAAGATGTTTTTAGAGAACGAAAAACATGTTTTAAAATAGAATGAAATTTAAATACTTTATATTTTACTTAAAAACTTTGGCGTATAAACTCGACGAATGGTCACACACAAGCAGTGAACGCCTGAGAGAAAAATGAAGTAAATTAGAATAGAGGAAAATTATTTTTCAAACGAAGCATGTTTTGACAGTTTTCTAGTCAAAAATAAAGTTTAATAGAAGAATATTTAAAAATGTATTCATATAATGACAAGCACCCTAGTAGTACTTACAATACAAAATAGGTACAAACAATGCACCCTGATAGTAGTTACAATAATAATAATAAAAAAAAAAGTTAAAAAAAAAATTTTATAAACACTTAAAATGAAACAAAATTACACAACAAATGTGTGATATATTTGTTGTATAAACAAAAACTTATTAAAAAAAAATTGACTACAAAATAAAAAATATGCATGCAACAATTACGTTGTAAAGTCTCAGAATGGAAAAAAATATTAATGCTAATGTGTAAAGATAATTTGTGTAGTGATTAAGTAATAAACATCTCCTCAGAGTCGCGTCTATTATTATTGGCGTTTTGAAGAGGATCAGCACTAATAACTAGTTTATTCTGTCAGACAATCGTCATCGCCACTTATGCTTTGCCCCACAACTTATGCCTATTCCATACTGCAGTAAAAAAAGACTCACTACAAATAGCCAAAACCCAACCATCCCCAAATTTCTAAATCATAATATTTTTTTTTATGATATGATATTCAAAGTGTAGATCGACTATACAATATAAATAAAATTAAATAAATCACTTACCATTTCATCGGAAAAAAACATGAAAACACAATAAATTAAAGTTCTAATAGAAACACAAAAATACTAATAAATTTATTTTTAAGACATAAAACTAAATAGGTACTTTTAGCATAAATAAATCCAAAACAATAAAAAAGCAGTCACCTTATTCAAATTAAAAAAAAAAAATCAAAAAAATACAATAGAGTTTTCAATAAATTCTAATGCTGTGGTAGATACCTCATTCTAATAATGCTGACCAATCAAAACTGTAAGAAAAAATGAACAACCAGCGCAACCTAAAATCATCACAAAAATTAATCTATGATAACCTAAAATCATCACAATAATTAATCTATGATAACCTAAAATCATCACAATAATTATTCTATAAGAAATAAGCGTCGCACAAAAACGATTGAAAATGCTACCCGCATAAAGGCAAGCATGCAGCAAAGGACAACTAAGGAAATAAAATTTAGATTAAATTGTAGACAAGATAATAATGCAGATGATCCTTGTTATTGTTATTGATTTAGTATACTTATCTACTTATCTGAGTTTTAGATTAGATTCATATCTATATTTTTTATTATTGACTCAGGGAGCCTCTGGTGTATTTATCTACTTATCTGTGTTGTTTGTTTGGATATGGGGTGATTACTGTACAGTAGTTGCAAACATTTATGCTGTTGTTCCGTCTTCTTTAATTCTTTTTGCTGGAATATTAGTCCTGGTCACCGGGCTGATTGGTTTCATTGGAACATATAATGAAAGTCGTTGCTCGCTTGGTGTAGTAAGTATATATATATATATATATATTTTTTGTTATTTAGGTGCCCCAAGATGACCTAACAGCTTTGTCACAGAGCACCACGGAAGTGCCTTTTTTTTTCTGCTTATAAAGCAAGCGCTGTAACAACTGTGCCACAGCCACACAAGTTACACATATTATGTTATAACTTTTTTTTTTTTATTATTATTAAAGTTGGTGTATTATTTTTACAAAGTTAATTAAAGTTATTGATATTTTTTAAAAATTTAAATTATATTACCTCAAAAATCAAATTATTTTACTGAATGATTTTTTATTGTAAGATATTTAAGTTTGAAATTGAAATTGAAATTTTTTACATCTATGGTTAAGATACTATGTTCAGATAGAACATGAGATACTATGTTCAGATAGAACATGAAAAAGATAGGAAATAAAAACTGTAATGAGCTTAAGCATGTGGTTCATAAAAATAGAGATATAAGAGGAGGTTGTGTTAAAGGACTTGATGGAACTTTTGAGTGAAAATAAAAATAATGATTCATTTTGATTGGTTGGTTCATAATTATTAAATTAAAGGTTTAAATCAAAAGAATTTATGTACCAAGAGAAACATATTTGAGTTGTTATTTGAAATATTTAGAAAAGCCACAATTAAATCATATATCTACATCATTTTTTGCAGCCCTTGCTGGTGGATGTACTACCTTCAAATTACTTCAGATTAAGAAAGCAAGATGTAAAATCACAGTCACAAAATATCAAACTTTTTATAGTTTATAAAAGTATAATCTCTATTTATAAAAGTTATTACGAGGTCATCTTCTTCCTTTTATTTATTCATAGAGAGCTGTAAATGTAATAAAAATATTTTTTTATTACATTTTCACAGAATAATTAAATTGTATGTAATTTAAACACCTTGAAGAAAATTCAGTGCAAAAAGGTAAAAATGTAAATTATAAGGAGCAAAAAAAATTGTTAAGTGAATTAAGATTTGGAAAAATGGGATTAAAAAAGTATTAAAACAGAGTATTAAAAAATATATGAAATAAAAATATATACAGTATATAAATTATTATCTAGCATAAATATCAAGAGTTTTAAACTAATATTTTAAAGTTTAATTAAAATTTTTAACTTAAAAAATATTTAAAGCTTAAAACTCTTGATATTTTTAATACACTTTCTGATTCTTTAATTTAAGAGTTTTTAAGTTTAATGGTGAAAAATGAGTTTATGAATCAAGGATCTTCCATAAATTACATCAGGCAATTTTTTATCATTTTTTACCCTCTCTCTTTCTCTCCCCCAACCCCCTTCCCCTCATCACAACATTGCACAATGGGGCAAAATCATTATTAGCTGGACAAAAGTAATAACTTTAAAATATTAATCAGATTTTCTCCATAATTGCCAGGTTGAGTATATTTCATACTAAGAATTAATGGTATCATTAGATTGTTTATTTAGTTGATGTGGATACCTATATTCCATAGCAATAGTGCGTTTTGCATAAATTAAGGGAATTTCTTAAAATATCAAATTTATAAACTAGACTGATATTAATGCTATGATGCTATTTTATGTATTTGAATGATAACATAAACAAATAGTTACTAATTTTTGGTGTTGCTATGCAGTTTTGGACTCTTAGAAACCAGTTATTTAATTATTTTTTTTTAATAAACTTTTGCTTAATTCAAAATTTCTTTAAAAAATGAAATAAAAACTTTGTAAACTCTAAAAGTTTATAGATACAGTTAATAAAAATCAAATTAATTGTATCTATGTAGTTCAATTGTCCTTAGCAACCAAATAAAAATCATCAAGCTTTTATACAATTAGAGCTATAGAATACTTTATTAAGTATATGTAAGAATACAAGCAAATTTGTATATTTGCAAAAACATTTATTTACATAACATGCATTGTTTTATTATATAAATAATAAATATTTATTAAATAAACATCTTAAATACCAACTAAAATCAAAACTATGCAACTGCAATTTATAGTTAGTCAAAAATTGGAACTTCTTTGAGTTTATCAAGTACGCCAATTAGATAAGCATCGCTCTTAGGATAATATGATTTTCTTAAACTACTTATCAAAGGGTCAGAAGAACACATTAATTGCCTAGATAAATCTTCATTTATTTTGACTGCAAACACTTTCAGGAAAATGATTTATAAAACTTCTTAAAGTTTTTTATTTTGAGTTTTTTGTGCCTTTTCACTGAACATGCCACTAAGCAAAGTCATTTTCTCTATAACTTGCCAACCATAAGTAAGAAAATGATGCAAACAATGTTACATATGATACCACGGATATAGATTTACATATTTTTAACTGCTTTGTAGCAGTATTTTTTAAATAGTGAAGAGTCAATAAGAAAGCTAGATGATAATGTACACAAAATAATATGTAACATCTTTATTATACTGACATCAAGTTCAAAAATTTGAGCAAACTTTTCTGCATTCTTTAAAAATCTTCTAGCAGTGTTACCATTACTTGATGACCCAGAGCCACCAGATATCAGCATATTAATTACCAGTCTAACTTCATCACGAATTCAATTACATCAACAATTACAAATCTAACTTCATCACCTGTTTTTGTCCTTGGATAATTTTCTTATTAAATGGTGTCCTTGTAGACCATTTTAGTAGCAACAGTCGATGTAGCAGCGGAGTGCAGCTACATTTTATTGTCATTGAAATGTCAAAGCAATTAAATTAATGCGGAATTAAATTAAATTTTATTGTTTTTTAAAAAAATCGCAATAATAATGACTAGAAAGTTTTTTTTAATTAATGGTATTTTTGTTGTTTTATTAAAGTATGTTTTTAAAACATACACAGAGTGTTGCTACATCGACTATCTTATAGTCTGCTGCTACAAGGTAACTAATATATTTACTAGCTGATCTGACCCGTAAAAATACAGGTCTTTGTGAGTCTATTCCACACTGACCTTTTCTATTCTTTTTTTTAAGATTTTTTTTTTATTTATTAGTGAAATTTAGCGCTGTGTAGTTTATGGACAATCCCTAATCTAAAAAATCTAATGGAGGGGGGGGGGGTAAAAAAGTTGTAAAACAGGGCTTTTTAAACTTCTTTCACTCACAACCCCGTTTATTATTGTAAGTTTTTGTGGCGACCCCATATAAATATATAAGAAAGAAAAGTAAATATTTATTGATGATTTATTTATTTAGTAACAATATACAGTCTTGGAAAAAAGTTTAAGACCACCACGTATAAATGCTATACTTGCGAGCTTGTGTGTAATGTTAAAGAGCGTAATAATAATGAAAAGAGTATGTATTATAAATTAAAATTTGTCTGTTTTTTATTTTTAATTTTTGAACCAATTTTTTTGTACTGTGATAATTTTTTCATTAAATTTTCAGCTTTTCGCAAGTGGTCTTAAACTTTTTTCCAAGACTGTACATATAGCATATATGTGTATATATGTTATATACATATGAAATATATAGTTTTAGAATTCATTTAGAAACATACAAAAATTAAAAATTGTACAAAAAGTTGTAAAATTGCATTTTTATTCAAATTATTACCTATTTTTTATCAAAATAACATTTTTTGCAATAACACAAATAAAAGTGAATTCTTCCCATCTGTTCGCTCTAATATATTCAAATGCAATTGTTGAGTGGTAATTATTAAATTGAAATTTAAAGAAAAAATTTAATGAGATGGATGTGCTTGTTTTTTATTGCATAACAAATTAAATGTACGTAAGACCTCTTCAACATTTTTTAGTGATGAACGATATTGGGATTTAATATGTGTAAAGCTGAGAAAGTAACTTCACATAAATATGTGGTGTATATATATATATATATATATATATATATATATATATATATATATATATATATATATATATATATATATAAGGCTCAATTTAATTTTTTATAAAGTGGCGGACAAAATGTCCGATCCAACCTTGTTTGGGTCGGACAGTGTCCTATCAAATTTTTTTAATATAATTTTTACAGTTTTATGGAACCAAGTTATGCAATCAAATTCTTTGTCATGTTATTCAGTTTATTTAACGTTAGTCTAGTGAAGTTGTAACTACAACTTCACTAGACTAACGTTAAATAAAGTATATTCAAAGTATATGTTTTACTGATCAAAAATTGATATACAAATAAATGTTTTTTTTTTTTTTTTTTTTACTTTACTGTTACAAGTAAGTTAAAATATTTATTTACAAACTATTTTTACAAATTAATATATAGTTTCTATATTAGGCCCCATATAAAAATACTTTTTTAAAATTTAAAGTGCTGTATAGTATTATTTCATGCGTTTAGATTAAATGAGATGATTAATGAGATAACATGTTTTAGATTAAATGAGATGATTAATGAGATAACATGTTTTAGATTAAATGAGATGATTAATGAGATAACATGTTTTAGATTAAATGAGATGATTAATGAGATAACATGTTTTAGATTAAATGAGATGATTAATGAGATAACATGTTTTAGATTAAATGAGATGATTAATGAGATAACATGTTTTAGATTTTGATTTATTAATTTTGAACTTGAGTCTATGGTGTATATCAGTATATAGAGATAAATCTTTTAAAGTTATTTTAATTTATGAATTAGTTAAATTAAATCTTTCCATGATTTAATTGCTTTAATTTTATTTTTTTGTTTCTATTTTTTACAAAGAATTGTTTAAAAATTTTTCTTTGAACTTGACTTACTAATTAAATCATGAAAAGATTAAGTTAAATAAAATATTATGATTAAATGAAATTATTAAAATAAAAATAAAATGATTAGATAAAATTTTTCAATTATAATAAAATTGATTAAACATTCATTTATTAAACAATCAATAGAAGTAATTTGTAAAGTATTTTGCGTAACTTTTATTAAGCCTTTTAAAAGATCAGCTTCAAAGTAATTTTTTTCAAATGCAATTAAAATAAAAAATTAAAAGTGTATAATGTCATTACATTTAACTTGTTTAACTTCAAAAATATTTTTTAAAGATTCTAAAAGATTTTTAAAAAAAGTCGCCAGTGTTTGGACTCGAACCACGGCTTTCTTGTTCAGAAGCTTAGCACGCTAGCCACTCGGCCAGTTGATCATCAAAATTTTAAAACTAAAAAAAATTATTTTTAACAGAGATAGATGCTGAAGATCAAAAATTAAGAAGAGGTTGACGCAATGCAGTTTTTAAGTCAAAGTCAAACTGTAAAACTTGATATATGTTTAAGTATGTTTAAACATTACATCACATGAAGTTTATGTACATACGATATAAGTTTCACTTTTGCTCACGTTTTTTTATAAAGCAAAGGTGAGGCTCTTTCTCACCAATACCTCGGTTGCAATGGTTGCCAAGGGTTTTGTGTCAAACATGCTCCAAAGGACACTACTACTACTAAAACTATTAAAACTATTAAGTTCAGCAAATTTATAAAAAAATTAACTATTAAGTTTTTTGTATAATGCATGTAAATGCATTAGTCTCTCGCTAACTTTTTTTATCATTTTTGAATCAATAAATTTATATATTAACTATTATATAAATAACTCAATAGATTAACTCAATAAATTTTTTATTTTTAGCTATTCACGCTTCTATTTATGATGTTGTCTATTGAGATTGTTTCTGGTACTCTTACTTATATTGGGAAACCAAAGGTACTTTTCTTTCTAAATATTTTTTGTATGTAATTTTTTGGCGGATAAAAGTTTTTTTTTTTTACTCAGATCAATGATGGCATCAAAAAAAGTCTTTGGCTAGCATTCAATGAATACTACTCAAAAGACTCATATTTAAAAAGTTCGTTTGATAAAATGCAAAAAGAATTAAAATGTTGCGGTGTAAATGGACCCAATGATTGGTTAAATATTTCTTATGTAATACCTGACTCATGTTGTATTCATTCTGGGAAGATATGCTATCTACTGCCTGATAATTTATATAATAAGGTATTTAATAATTGATATAACATAAATATAAAAAAAAAAATGATTCAAAACACATGATAAAATAAATGTTTTTATTTTGCTTAATTCAGCAATAGGGCCTAACAAAGTAAAATGGCCCAAAAAAAAATGCTGATTGGTCTGAAATTTTGCACACATCAAAAAGAGTATTAAAAAAATTATTAATAATACTTTTTAATTTTCAAAATAGAAGCTGATAGAAGCTGATAGAAGCTGATAGAGGCTGATAGAGGCTGATAGAAGCTGATAGAGGCTGATAGAGGCTGATAGAAGCTGATAGAAGCTGATAGAAGCTGATAGAAGCTGATAGAGGGTGATAGAAGCTGATAGAGGCTGATAGAGGCTTTTTAACAAATAAATCAAAATCTTTCTAACAAATCCAAGAAAATGTCAAATACTTTTATGAAATTGCATGCAACAAATTTTCAAACCATTATAACAGAGTTGTTATCAGAGTTAATAGTTCTAGTTCTTTAAAGATTTTGATCCATTGCTTATGTAAATACAGGTTTTTATTGATGACTATCTTTTTGAGTATGGTTGATTTTATCATGGAATAGCATGCCAGCAGGACCAATTGAATTGCATATGATTTGTGCATCATTTTTGTGTAATGTGTGATTAAAGAATTTTCCATATAATTAAACATATCAAGACACTGTTGAGAAACAGCAGTCATTAAACTTGATTGGGTCAATTAAAAATCGAATCTAAAAGTAGTCCTTAATTTTTTGTTACAAAACTTTTTGAGGTGTTTTTTTTTTTCCACCTTGCTTGCACCACAGCTTAAATCAATCTATATGAATGTTAATTTTTGTCATATGAATGTTAAATTTGCTATATGAATGTTAATTTTTGTCATATGAATGTTAAATTTGCTATATGAATGTTAAATTTGTTATATGATCCTTAAATTTGTTATATGAATATTAAATTCATTATTTGTATGTTAAATTTGAGTTAATTTGTCCATAAAATTTTTCCACATCTTGTTTGCAATATTATATATTACAAACATAATATTACAAACATTATGAAATTGTTATTATTAGTTCAAGTTTAAAGCTAATTTGAAATTTGAAATTGGATGCAGTTACAAATTTGTGTTAAAAGCAATTTTTCTCATTGTTAGGTCTAACAATGAGGCCCATTATGCTTTTTTCAAAATGAATATGATTAAGTAAATTTGCTTCATTTACAGTTTTTGCAGTTACAAGTAAATTTGTTTCTTTTACAGTTTTTGGAGTAACAAATTAAATTTGCTTCTTTTATAGTTTTTGGAGTTACAAAGTAAATTTGCTTCAAAAATGTTTTAATTGATATTATATATCAAGTTATGTACAAATATAAGTTTTACAATGTAATAACATATAAACATCTATTTCTATTTATTATAAACACATTTTTACAAGGAGATTTTGAAATGGTTTTTAAACAATATAGATATTTTGATATTCAAAGTATATGTTTTACTGATCAAAAATTGATATACAAATAAATGTTTTTTTTTTTTTTTTTTTTTACTCTTACAAGTAAATTAAAATATTTATTTACAAACTATTTTTACAAATTAATATATAGTTTCTATATTAGGCTCCATATAAAAATACTTTTTTAAAATTTAAAGTGCTGTATAGTATTATTTCATGCGTTTAGATTAAATGAGATGATTAATGAGATAACATGTTTTAGATTAAATGAGATGATTAATGAGATAACATGTTTTAGATTAAATGAGATGATTAATGAGATAACATGTTTTAGATTAAATGAGATGATTAATGAGATAACATGTTTTAGATTAAATGAGATGATTAATGAGATAACATGTTTTAGATTAAATGAGATAACATGTTTTAGATTAAATGAGATGATTAATGAGATAACATGTTTTAGATTAAATGAGATGATTAATGAGATAACATGTTTTAGATTAAATGAGATGATTAATGAGATAACATGTTTTAGATTAAATGAGATGATTAATGAGATAACATGTTTTAGATTAAATGAGATTATTAATGAGATAACATGTTTTAGATTAAATGAGATGATTAATGAGATAACATGTTTTAGATTAAATGAGATGATTAATGAGATAACATGTTTTAGATTAAATGAGATGATTAATGAGATAACATGTTTTAGATTTTGATTTATTAATTTTGAACTTGAGTCTATGGTGTAAATCAGTATATAGAGACAAATCTTTTAAAAGTCTGACATTTGGAAACTGTTAAATCTTGGATATTGGTGCAAGAAGCTATCAGGAAGTTTTAACCAAGTCACTCTCCCTAATCCAATTTCTCGAAGATAAGTTGATTTTCTGTTCTGAAGATAAACTGATTTTCTGTTCTTATAAAATCAGTAAGAGATAGAGGGATTTGGTTTTAATTGTTTTAGACATATTTGACTGTAAAGACGTACAAGAAATATCTACATAAAATCCTATTTTCTTACAAGGTCTTTTGCAAATTTTGTGTTAAAGCAGAGCTTGCCTTTGCTGTAATAAACCTAAGGCCATAAAATAAAGCTGTTAATTCAGCAATTTGAATCACTTACAAGTTAAGTAGACATGGTGAAAAACAAGATGGTTTTAGCTGTAAAACAGGCTTGTTGTGATGCTATAAATACATAGAATTTAAGCCTTTTAATTTCTCTTGAAAGGTAAATTATACTGTTCAATAAAGTATCTGCAGTTATTTCTGTGCAAAACATTTTGGTTTAAGTAAGTCTGAACGTGCAGATGTGCTAATAAATCATATGCACACAGTGCATTTTACAATTTTTAAAGTGATAAAAATCTAACTTAAAATCAAAATAAAAATTTTATTTAGCTGTGATGTTTTATGAAATAATTAAAAATTTTAATTTATGTTAAACATATGATGTATATTATTAAAATCTATAAAATTAATTTATTGTATAGAAAAATACTTTTTAAATAAATTTTTTATATTGATTCTGCAACATCAAGTAAAAAAATTTCATAAAAAAAGTTCATAAATATCTCAGGTGAAAATTAATCTTGGACTTCTTCCCAGGTGAAAGTTTTTCGATTTTAACTTAGGTAGGAAGAAGAAATTTATCTAGGAAGATAAATTTAAAAATTTTGTCTGAGGAATGTAAGTATATATATATATATATATATATATATATATATATATATATATATATATATATATATATATATATATATATATATATATATATATATATATATATATATATATATATATACATATATATATATATATATATATATATATATATATATATATATATATATATATATATATATATATATATATATATATATATATATATATATATATATATATATATATATATATATATATATATATATATATACTCTTACATTCCTACAAACAAATATTATGTACAGTATCTTAAATACTCAAAGATACTGCTAGTATCTTTGTTACAATATTTTTGAAAAGTGCTTTACTATTTTTGAAAAGTGCTTTACTATTTTGCAATACTTTTGTAAAATTTTAAAATAGTAAAATTAAAAGAGTGAGAGAAAAAATCAGAGAATGCTGAAACTTTAACATAAATTTGAAAAATACATCATAACTGAGAGAACCCATCAAGGAAAAAAAATGTCGAAGTTAAAAATCAGATCCATAAAAATTGTTAAAAACATCATTTAAAAACAGATTCATAGTTGTTCAATATTTAAATTATAAAAATAAAGCTCAAATATTAAACAAGTACAATCCGGTGAATGTATATATATATATAAATATATATATATATATATATATATATATATATATATATATATATATATATATATATATATATATATATATATATATATACACACACACATATATATAATTCATAAAAGTATGATTGTATATATGTGTGTGTGTGTGTGTGTGTGTGTGTGTGTGTGTGTGTGTGTGTCTATATATATATATATATATATATATATATATATATATATATATATATATATATATATATATATATATATATATATATATATATATATATATATATATATATATATCACCATGATTGGTTGAAGTTTGGACGATTTTAAATTGAGTTTTTTCAAAAACCACTAAATCAATTATAATGATTTTTTTTTTATTATGTTTATATAATTAGCTTTTATTTCAATAAAAGTAAGTTATTCCTTAACTTTACAACTTACATTTGCCTCTTTTCCTCAACATTCTCTTTCCTCAATATTCACAATTGCCCAAAAAGATGGAAACACAAATTAAAAAAGTTTATTTTAAAAAAAACTTTGAAAATATGTATTTTTAATTTTATATAAAATGTAATATTTATATAAAATGATTATTATTTTTGAAATTTTTACAAAATTTCACTTCTTTTGAGACCCAACATGATAAACTTTTGAAGAACTTTTTTTAGGGACTCGTTTGATGTTTAAGGGTCTTGAGCAACCCCTAAAAATTTTTTCAATTTAGTGTTAATTTATTACATAGAATACATTTAGGGGGTGGCAGCAGACAATTTCAAAAAAAGTTGTTTTTGGTGGCACTCTAATATATATATGCATAAATATATGTATATATATATATATATATATATATATATATATATATATATATATATATATATATATATATATATATATATATATATAGTATTTTATTTTACACTGTAATTATTTCTTCATTACTTTTACTATATTACATTATTACTCCAATAAATTCTTCTTATCTATTTGTTCTTGAATTACTCATAACTCATTTTTGTGATTGACATTGACAGTATATATATTTAGAAAAATATTTAAATGTTTTATTTAGGATCTGATCTGATGTTTTTTGGATTTTTGTTGTTTTTTAAGATTATTTTTCATAGGGATGTTTTGATGAAGTTTTAAACTCATTTAACCTAAATCTAAAGAATATAGCAGGAATACTTATTGGATTTGCAGTGTTTCAGGTTATAATTATGCTTAAATATTAGCTTTTATATTATGTTTTAATCTTTGTAAAGCATAAAATGTTGTAATAATAATTGTTTACCCCCTAATTTAACCATAAGATTTAGTTTAACTATAAGGTTTAACCATAAGTTTTGAAAGTTAATAACCATAGATTCTCACTCATAGAAAGGATTTCCTTTCATAGAGTTATTTTATTTCTTTTTTTCTCATCAATAGTAGGTAATTCAAAGTTTTTATTGTTATTGTTATAAAATAATTATAAATTAAGAATTTTATCAAATATGTTTGAAGAATATATCTTGGTATTTTAGTTCTCCTGTATAATGGTTTTAAAAATGTTTAGGTTAACATGTAGTTAAAAACATAAATATATTATTACTCTTTAATATATTTACTCTATAACTCTTTTTTACTATCATATAAAAGGAGGGCAACAGCCTTAATGACGAAAGATTTCCTGTTGTTTCAGAGGTATTTCATTTTCTTTCCACTAACTTTTAGCTTGAATTTTTAAGTTTTCAAATTTTTTCTTCTGAAATTCAGGAAAATTTGTTGCATTTATGTAATTACATTAACATTTAATGCAAATAATATTTGAAAATAATCAAAAATTAGACTACTTAACTATTGTTAAAAATTGTAACTACTTAACTAATGGTTTTGAAACATTTGTTTAATTTAAATAAAACTGACTTGTTTTACACATTTTTATCTTGACTTCAAGATATCTCAATATAATAAGTTTCCTAAATTTTCTAAATTTTGTGAAATAAATATTTGTTCGTTGTTGTTGCAAGGAATGGATCTATTTAAAAATAGTTAAATATAGATAAAAAATGTATTCAATAACACAACACGTTTGTGAATGTAATCAAAATATAATAAAAATTATAAAAGTTTCAAAGAAAATATAAATTCTATTATATCATTTGTTAATCACAATCCTACTAACAAATTGTTAATCACAACCCTGCCAACAATTTGTTTATAAATAAGTGTTACAAATAAATAAATCAAACTTGAAAGTAAATAATGTAAATAAGTAAATCAAACTTGAAAGTAAATAATGTATATTCCTTTAATATATTTGTAGCAGTATAAGACAAACTACACCAAATGCTTTGTTAATGCAAGTTAATAATAGTTTATGTTAATAATAAATAAAATGTTAATAGGTAAAAGTTAATTCAAGTTAAGACAAAACTACACCAAATGCTTTGAACAATATAAAACCATTTTTGTTACCAAATTTTAATAATAACCTGATAATCTTTTCTAACACATTGTTAAACATTACGTGAGTGCCTTTGCCTGATAATTTGTAAACATTACGTGAGTGCCTTTGGCTGATAATTTGTAAACATTACGTGAGTGCCTTTGGCTGATAATTTGTAAACATTACGTTAGTGCCTTTGGCTGATAATTTGTAAACATTACGTGAGTGCTTTTGGCTGATAATTTGTAAACATTACGTGAGTGCCTTTGGCTGATAATTTGTAAACATTACGTGAGTGCTTTTGGCTGATAATTTGTAAACATTACGTGAGTGCTTTTGGCTGATAATTTGTAAACATTACGTGAGTGCTTTTGGCTGATAATTTGTAAACATTACGTGAGTGCTTTTGGCTGATAATTTGTAAACATTACGTGAGTGCTTTTGGCTGATAATTTGTAAACATTACGTGAGTGCTTTTGGCTGATAATTTGTAAAAATCTCATGTAAATGATTTAATGAATATTTTTTTTAATATGAAAACATAACAAAAAAAAGGAAAATTGCGACAAAAAGGTTTGCAACAGTTTATTTTTATAAAATTTAGCTGCAATAATGCTAAAATATGTTTAAAAAAATGATTTAATGCTATTATATTTATCGTTTTATTTAGATTTTCGGAATGATTATCACAACTTATGTTATAATTATCTTAAGGAAGCTTGGCTTGTCGCGTCTAATATTTTCTCCTGCTTAAACGTTTAAATAGGTTATATATATATATATATATATATATATATATATATATATATATATATATATATATATATATATATACATTCCTGAAAACGTTTTTTGTATACTTTTTATATTTATAAATGTTTTGATACAATTTCTTTTTTGCTGAATTTGAATAGTTAAATGATTTGTTATATACAAAATGTTATATTATTGCAGAATCTGAATAATAATATATAATTTATTATATACAAGTTTTCCAGAAAACAAATATTTAATAAATTTATTTTGTATTTTATATGAAAAATAATAGATTTTCAAAATACATTCAACTACCCAGCCGGCATTTGGTTCCAAAAAATCATCTTTTGAACGTTTAAAAGACGTCTTTTTAGGACTAAATGTCAGATAGGTATTTATATATTCCTTCGTATACTATTATTTTTCTTTATGCAACATTTTTCTTAGAATTTCTTGTGTTTTTGTAAATTTGTACCACAGTGGTTTGTTTAATGTTGAAATTTTTATGATGTGAGCATACAAAATATAGTTTTATTATGTTTACTTTAGGCATTTTATGTTTGAAATTTTATAAATAACATTAATTTTGATAATTTGTTTCATTTTTTAATGAATTATTTTTAATACCAGCTAAAATTGCGAATACGTGGTTGAAGAATAAGTAAAAAAATTCCTGGTAGGAAAACATAATAACTGTTTCTATTAACTAAAAAGTGAAGTCATATTTAATTAAAAAATATATTATAGTTATTCAAATATGTGCTTAAATTTTTTCTTTAATTCTGAAAGGGAAAAAAACTTGTAGCATTAGTAGGATGTAGGTGTAGACTTATAAAAAATTAAAATATTATCTACGGTGACGACTACTAGTTGATGGGTGCGGTGAAGACCGGCAAATATTTAACTGCTAAATTTAACATATAAAAAACGCATACTGGCATGTGTCAGGGTTCATACTTATTGCGGTAAGGACAAAAAAGTAAACTTTAAAATAAAATAACAGCCTCGGTTAGGATGCACAGTTATTTAAAAAGCAACCAATAAAAAATTATACTAAAGCTATTTGCGCATTGTAGGAATCATTAAAATCGATTTTTGTTTAGGGGGAAACTTTGAGGAATTAAATTGTTAAATTAAAAATTTGAATGTTTTAAATTAGAAATTAATGAATTGTGATAATAAAAATAACAATAAAAAATATATTTTAAAATAAGTTATTAGAGTTTTTTTTTATATTGTTTTAAAATAAATATAAGTTTTTTAAATTAGTTTTACATGTTTTTAAACTTGACTGCTTTTAATTTTATAAATTTGTACAGGAACCTACTCTTGAAAACAATATTCTAGACCTATTATATTTTCAGTCTCCTTAGTCTTATTTCTGTTGAATGTTCTTTCAGCATCAATGACACAATCCACTTGTCCAATAATATAAACAATCTCGATCAGTCAAAAAAAATAACTGAATCTTTTTATGACTTTGTTAACACCGGTTTCAGTCTTACTTATTAAATATTATTTGGGACTTTGATTTTTTCCTTTGTTTTCACAGTTGAAGATTATTGGAACATTTTCTCCAATCTTTTTTGCAATGGTATTAATTAATTTGTTCCAATTAAAGAGATTAATCTTTACAAAAAAATAAATCACTACTTGAGGTTTATCGGGAAAATGTTAAAAAGCATTGTTAAGGAAAAGATGGTCAAATACTAAAAGCATTACACACAAAAAAGCATCACACACAAAAAAGTATATAACAAATGTAATGAAACATTACTTACTTTCCGAGTTGGAATGGAAGTTGAGCTTAAACTAGTTAAAGAAAACAATATCAGCAAGTTTTTTAATTATGTTCAAAACAAACTAAATAACTCTAAAAATAGTCTTTCTCTAAAAGACAAAAACAATAATAACAAGATGACTTGAAGTAACGAAGAAGTTGCTGACGTGTTTAACAAACACTTTAGTAGTAACTTTACAAACGATAACAGTTATTCTCCATTTATTAATAGTTAGTGTTAATGATTTAATTGGTAATGCACGGCTGTTTCAGAGTGAGCTTTACGGCTTTTTTTTTTTTTTAATTAGGGGTTGTTGCTAAAACATTTATAACTTTTGAAATATTTGAGACAATTTTGTTTTGTAAAAAGAATAAAAACAACAATAAAACGTTTCATTATATGACATTTAATACAATAGTAATAAACTTCTTTTAGTTTATAAAAAACCCGACAAATGATGAACTTGGCTATATTTTAGTAATTTGTCGTTACTTTTTATCAAAAAAAAAAAAGCAAAAAAATATATTTCTGATAGTTATTATCAAATACACTTGTTGTTTGACTGTTATTAAAATAAAAAACCTTTTCTATTTTTAGAATAAATAATAATATAAAAATGAAGTACCATTATATATACAATTGCATTAGATCCAATAATATGTCTATACAAGATCCCACAATTTATGATCAATTAGTTGTCAAGTTAGACTTGGATGATTCTGAAATTATAAGAAACAAATTAATTGCATTCTTAAACAACTTAAAGACTTGTTGGAATGTTAGCCGCAAAGCTGCAGCTTTTGAGAAAAAGTATGCAAATTGGTTGGATACTGACTTTATATCTTCTGCATATGTTCCACCTACTACTCCAACAATTGTTACCACTCCTCTTGGAAGGCCTACTTTGAATTTTGATGAGTCCTCTTTGAGATCTAAGTATAGAAAAGTTGCTGAAATGGATCAATACTCTGCTAGCCAACTATTATTTGCAACTAAAGTCAAATTTGGAAAAGATAATCAGCCTAAAAAAGCTAAATTAGTAGGAAAATTGTTAGTGGATACTATATAATTAAACTGATTATACTGCTAGTGTTCCACTTCAAGATCTACTAGATCATACTACAACAAGACTTTTGTAGACACAGACTGGTGTTGTAAATGCAAATGAGTATAATAGAGTAACTCTAATATACAAAGCTGGTTTTGATGGCTCAAGTGGGCATAGTATTTATAAACAAACATGTAATGATAATGAGTGTACTAGGAATCTGAAGAGTGAAGAATCATTGTTTATTACATGCTTTGTACCTTTGGAACTCTCATCTATTGTTAATGATAAAAAGATTATTCTTTGGAGAAACTCTAAACCATCATCTACTTAGTATTGTCGACCTTTGCGATTTAAATTTGTAGAGGAAACTGCAGACCTTCTTCGTAGTGATGAATTGACATCAAAAAATGAGATCAAACAGCTAACTAAAACAAGCTATATCCTACTTAATGGTAAGCCTATTGATGTTGACCATAAAATTGAAATTACTATGATTGATGGCAAAGCCATCAAGCATTATCATGCATTATCATGCTGCATTATCTGATGTAACTGACTCATCACAGTGTTGCTCTCTTTGTGGTGTTAGTCCTATAGAAATGAATGATATTGACAAGGTATATAGAAAATATTGTATATATAAACTAGTAGAAAATTGCTCAACAAAATTTTTTTATTTAACACTGTTTTATCAATTTTACACTGACACTGTTTTATCAAACACTGTTTTATCAAACACTGTTTTATCAAAGACTCATCAGAAATGCATCATTTCTGATGAGTCTTTATTGATAAAACACAGTGTTAAATGAAAAATTTTTGTAAAGCGATTTTCTAATTTGAAATTTAAAATCTTGAATGAAATTTAAAAATCATTGCTCTGTTCTTTTAAGAACATTATTACATTTTAAAATTTGTTTACACACATATATATATATATATATATATATATATATATATATATATATATATATATATATATATATATATATATATATATATATATATATATATATATATATATATATATATATATATATATATTTGTATACCTTTTTATATTTGATTAGTTTAAAATGCAGTTTTTATTTATTACAGGTGTTACTGTAGTTGCACACTCAAAATGGATTACAATATGGGATTTCAATTCTACATGCATGGATACAAACATTCGAATGCTTAATCCATCTTGCTTACAAATTGCCAGTTAAGAAATGGTCAGCAAGATTACCAGCTGACAAGCAACAAATCGAAATGCAAAAGAAAAAAATTCAACTTGCTTTTCGAGAGAAGATGGGACTGATTGTTGATAGGCCTAACGCTGGCAGCTCAGGAACATATAATGATGGCAACACCTCCAGAAGAGCCTTTCAGAATGAACAACTGTTTTCTGAAATCACAGGACTCAATTTTGAATTTATAAAAATGTTCCATGTTGTTCTGACTTCTATTTCATGTGGTTTTGAGCTTGATGCAGTTTTATTCAGGGAATACTTTACACATACAGCTAGGTTTTATGTGGAGTGCTATCCATGGTATTATATGCCGCAGAGCATTCATAAAATGCTAATTCATGCTCCCAGTGTTGTTGATTACATGACATTACCAATTGGGCTCTTAAGTGAAGAAGCTATAGAGGCTCGGAATAAAGATTTTAAAAAGTATTGTGAGCATTTTACACGCAAGTGTGACCGTATTAAATGTAATGAAGATTTATTTAAGCGATTCTTTTGTTCTAGTGATCCAGTCATTTCTTCACTAAGAACAATAGTTGGTACTAAGAAGAAGGTTTTGCCAGAAGGTGTTCTGCAACTGTTAAAAAACAGTGTTTAGTTGTTCTTTTTATGGAATTTTAGAAGCTAATTTTTGGTTTCTTGCTTTAGTTATTATTAAAATTTAAATTTATGCATTGTAAATTAAAATTGTTAATATTCTATAATTAACATAAATTAAAATTTCCCACATACATTTATTTGGAACACCAGAGCATTAAAAATCCTATTTTTTTCATAATTTGCAGTAAATAAGTCAAGAATTTGTATAAATTTGACTGTCACTATAAAAATATTTAAGATGTTGCTATGCATAATAAGGTATCCATAGCAACCAAACTAAATATCATAATATAAAACGCATACCTCGTATTGGTACTCTTACCAAACTTAGTGTGAATGACACACAAAAGCAACTACAAGTAGATTTATGCTACGCCAAAATAAGTATCCATAGCAACCAAATAAAAAAAAACACCTTTATAAGAAGCGCAGACCTTACACTGGTGCTCATGCAAAATTTAGTGTATATAGAACACATAACAAATCTGCAACTACAAAAAGTAGGTTGTTGCTATGCTAAATTTCGGTATCCATAACAACCAAATAAAAAATAATCTCTTAATAAGAGGTGCAGACCTTACACTGGTGCTCATGCCAAATTTAGTGTAGTTAGCACACATAACAAATCTGCAACTACAAAAAGTAGATTATTGCTATGCAAAAAATAGGTATCCATAGCAACTAAATTAAAAATAACACCTTCATAAGAAGCTCTAACCTTATATTGGTACTCATGCCAAATATAGTGAATGTAGCACTAATATTAAATTACTTATTAATTTTGTCTCAAAATTGGCCATTCTGGCCCACTGTGCATATGTAACTACAAATTTTGTTGCTAAACCTGCCAAGGTTAAAGAC